AGATAGATACTCTTTATTGTTTCCTCCAAAAGATTACAATAGTAAACTTATTATAAATATAAATAATTACAAGAAATAATCACAATGAGAAAACAATGGGCGACCTTATCGCTAAGAGCGATCTCTTCCAGGCAACCTTTGGATGGAGAGGAGTAATTATAAACAGTTTGGTGGGAGGCACGATGAAAAATTTTGTTAGTTCTAAATATGGGAGATGTGATACATATAATAATATAAATATTATCCCTACTCATTATTATATTTATATACATACACCAGTACCATTATAATACAACAGTACCATGAATATATTGTTATATTATGTTCATGGTACTTTTCATGTCAATAGGTAACAGTTACCATTTTCCATCGGGTAGGCCGTCTGCTTGTTTGCCACCATTTTCGTATACCGGTACGACAAGTTGACTTCATAGCCACATGATGCTAAGTAATTATGTGAAATCTATCTGTGTAAACATAAGGTCAAACGCAGAGTTAGATAAAATCTGTGTCCCCTATTATAATGATTAACGGAGTCCAAGTTACATTGGTAAGAAATACGAGCCCTGAGAAGAGTATCTACAAATTGGTGGTGTGACAAAGAAGCTGTTAAGTTGTTTGGATCGTGTATCTCGTCTTATATGGATACATTTTTGCCCAACACAGGTAATCCTTTAATGAAATATGGTTTAACTGATAATTTCAAATAATTCCTTAGAGTATTCTCCATAGAACGAGCTATAATAAACGCTCAGATAAATAATACCTCGACGCAGTTGTAGAAATTCGAGATGTTTAGAGATCTTTAAATTATTTATAATACTAACAACACGTCTTTAAGCTAACACTAAAGAACACATTAGATACTTGGTGGAATAACAAAGATGGAAACAGCACTCGCCACATAAAATGAGTTGCAGTTAGCGTAACATTTGCTGCTGTAGCTATCGGTGTAAAAAATCGAAGCAATTTATTTAGAACGCCCAATTTCTTTGCAGCAGTTTTTGTGAGGCTTTCGATCTGTGCCCTGCGATTCAGATCAGCTTGAATTTGCATTCTCAGAACATTTAACCTGTCCCGTAAACTCAATGATATGTCGTGGTGTAGATATCGGAAAAACACTACATAGAACTTGGCAACCAATGGGCGCTTTTAATATTGTTTGTCGTAGCACGGCCCGTTTTTATTATTATGATTGAATAAGAAAACAAAAGCTATATATTCGTATGACGCTTTTCATTTTCCATCAACGTCCATTCATGTTCACGATTTTATACTGAATCTTGTCACAGTATTTCAGTATGAAAATGAACTAATGGTATTAGAATTATTAGAATCGACGTTAATTTAATAACATTATAGTTACGGTATTCATTATATTATGACGATAAAATATGATACAACAAATATTTTTTCAAAGACATTTGTCTTTTAAAAAAGCCGGTGAAGTTCGAGTTGGACTCGTGCAACGAGGGTTCCGACAAAATTATCAAGGTATTTTTTTTTTCATTTTGTGAAAAACTACAAATTTACGAATTTCGGATTTTCCCCTTTACTTGTGCTACATGACATTGATTCTTGCCAAATTTTGTGATTCTAAATCAACGAGAAGTACCCTATAGGTTTTGATTCCCTTCGCGAATGTCAAAATATGCGATATAAATGGAACATAAACGGCCGTATCTTGATTGCGTCGATTTAGAAGGTTGATCTTTCTTCGCTACTTTAAGAGATTGTAGACCTGAGTACATGATAATATTTCAACTTATATCAAGTTGAACTCCACGCGTTTCTAAGAAAAAAAGGGTGTAAATGGACGGACAGACGGACGAACAACAAAATAAGTCTATAAGTGTTCCGTTTTTTTCCTTTGAAGGTACGGAAACCTAAAAATACTTAATGACCAGAAATAACTATTATTAACATTGTTAAAAATTATTTAGTGACAAACTTTAACATATATATTATCTATTAATAATTAGATAAAATATTAATATCTATTACAACAAATATAGAACAACAGTAAATTAATTATAATTCCTTCTGTCTTTATTCGCCGAAAGCAATTTAATTAAAACTTGTTTAATAACAGAAGTCTATTGTTAGATATTTGCAACAAGCAACTTCTGACCCTCTCCCATTTAAGTATGTCAATGTTTTATTTACTCCGTAATTATTAAATAACGATTACTGAAATTGGTTTTCGTGGAGTCGAGGTAATACGATCATACCCATAATACTGGTGATGTCTCACAAAGATAAAAAATAACATTATAAGACGGAACGTATCGTAAATCAGTGCGGGATGAGGAGGGAATTGAATCGTCGCGGTCGGCGGCGGCGGCGAGCGGCCGGCGGCGACGCGGCGGCGCGGTGCCGGTAGCCGTGCGGGTGCGGACAAGGGCCGCGAGCGAGCTGGAGGGCGCGTGCGCGGCGCGCGGGGCGGGGCGGGGCGCGGCGCAGCCTCCCAGCTGCTGCACTCCGCCGCCGCCCGCTGCCCGCATCGATCCCGCCCGGGCCGCAGCCTCCGGCGAGCCGGGCCTCAACGCGCGCGCCAACCGCGCGCTGCACGCGATATCCACGCGCTCCTCAATACCGCACGACGCGCGCCCGAGCCGTCGACCGCCCGCACGCGCCCTCCTCCAAGGTCCATATCCCTCATCCGATCACGTCCCCACAACAATAACAGTAATCGCCAGTGTTTCAGGTTATAATCGTGCCCGCTTACGTAACATTTGAGATTTCGTGCGTACCTTTTGACAGGTTATGTGTGAGTGGTCGCCGTTGTGTACACCCAGGTTTCTATTAACATGCTTCTCGTATGCTTCACATATTTCATGAAACCTGTCTGTGTCCCTGTCTAGGAGTAGCTTTCTATGCTTTTGTTAATTTGCTATTTACCTGGCTTTAATATTTCATACCAAAAGTTATATGAATCGGCGCTACACGCACACATAGCCTCGAATTGTACCGATTATACACCAGAGCATTGTAGTATCTCATTCTTTCATACTAATCGCGACTTTGTTGTAGTGATAATAGAGTCGAAATAGACGTATAGCTTATCTACTACTGAAAAGTGAATAGCGCCTAGCAGGAACTAAATAAATTCGTTCCCATTTTCACGTCCAAGCATTTCATAGTAGTTCCGTAGTATTTACATGCATTACTATAAAATAAGCATTATTTAATAGATACTATATTTATTATAAAATAAAAGCATGTTTTAAACAAAGATTATTAACTCTACGAAGACTGAATCATTATAACTTATTAATAGTTATTTAACTTAATTTTTAGAGACCATAATATCATATCACTTGAGTTTATCATATCTATCTACAGTAAGTTATTCATATTTATCTGTAGATTACGTATTAAGTTTAAACAAAAATATTCATGACAAAGAAAATTTTTGATTTTTATACGTTCACTATACGTAGATACAGGCACAGGTTAACTAACAAGGTTACCCTAATAAGTACTTAAGTACTAACAAGCATTATAACTTTATTTTATTGCTAGATTATTTTTAGTCTTAGGTGTACCTATGGGCGCTATTCCATAGTCGCACGCTACAAAGAATTTAAGCTTACGCGATTCATTATGTCAGAAAATTTATTATAAAGGTAAAACACATTATGTGTTAGCAGTCATAATTCTAGAATTATAACTGCTATTAAACTGATATTATCAATAATACAAATATATTTAAAAGGAGAAACATTTGAAATAGAAACCTATCCCAAGCCATCTGGCCAGTATGTATTAATAAGCTTTAATAATTCTCTCTTAAAAAAAGCCAAATATCTAATATAACTTATTATTTCTGCTACATTACATTGAAATTTATCTATTGTTTCTTACATTTGCCACATACATATCATAAAAAGTTATTTCATCATCATCATCATCATTTCAGTCCTTATCTGTCCACTGACATAAGCCTCCCCCATAAAGCCATACCGAAAGAAAGCCAAACCGCCATAAAGAACGGTCCTGAGCTTCCTGAGCCACTGACCCCCTGTAACGCATTTCAGATTGTCACTTCATCTAGTGGAGGTCGTCCTATATTGCGTATACCCGTACGTGGTCGCCACTCAAGAGCCTTTCTTCCTTCCTTCCAAAAAAGTTATTTACTTTTTATTAACCAGCAATAAAGGCTGTTTTCTGTTCCCATACGTATATATTAAATCTGATTGATACATGAATATACTATCATTTTACAAGAATTTTCCGCTAAAGGAATAACTGTTAATAATATAGAAATTACACAATACGAGTGTAAACACCAAACCCATTTTAAGCAAGACTAAACTAACAATTCCTTTGTATTATTTCAACCAAGATCGTAATCTCAACTTTTCTTTCAGCTTGAATTTAATTATTGCGTCCTAATATTTGAAAGCCACACAAATATTGATTCACTTTGGAAAATAACATCATAACACCATCCATCACCTGCCATTACGGGTACTTTAGATTTTTTGTTCAATGTCGCGTTGTGATCGAAGACAATGTAATTCGATAAAAACTTACCAAATGTTGGACAAGTTTTCTCCGATATATCAAATTTTGCCTAATCTCTGGTAGGAAAAAATCTTAAATATTACTATATAAAGCAATAAAAATATTCCACGACAAACACGCGGAAAACCTTAAACAAAAGAACTGTAATACCAGCTTGCGACCTTCCTCGCTACATGTTAATTAATAAGCAATCACTTATTTAATCTAAAATTATCGTAATTAACTGAATAAGCACTTCGACGTATATTTGTAATAGATTAATGTCATCCTAAAGACACACAAAATATGTCACGCCGCGGGCGCAGCGTGATCAGCACTCAATTAGTGCCTCACGTACCAGGTGTACATAAAAGAACACTAGCTTCATCAACACAGAACAAACAGTCCAACCACTCTACCAAACCAGTCAAGACTAAAAGTAAATTGCTCTAAGTGGATATAATTTTTTTTCTTTACATCCGTATTTACCTTATAGCGGTCGCGTACTCGATTTTGTGACTAACAGTCAATAATGTAGTTTGGCTGTTTGCCAATTTTAGTCATCACAAATCATTCGTCGCTCATTATCCATTAAATTAGTGCATATTGTCCTTGAGGGCGGACGCGCGCGGGCCTAACATAGTTTTCTTTCTGCAAACCCACGAAGACAGTGATGAGAGGCGGCGTGTGAGACTACGTCGCGTAACTTGGGACCTTCTCGGCGAGTGAACTGCTAAACATGACGTCTGAAAAGGAGAAGATGGCCGCTGAAACGAAATCGCCCTCTAATAAGAGCAACTGCACGTCACCAGGGAAAAAAGGTAATATCCCAACTAGACATTCAAAGTATACCTGGAGCTCCTGAACAGAGAAAAATGACAATATATTTCCCAGTTTCCCGCATGTCCTGTAACTGATAATCAATTTAAATATTTCTTTTTAACTCATTGTTGCTTTATTTCCCGTATTACAGTATTAGGTTGACAAATATAGATCTATTTTAAAGATAAGTCTACCTAGAATTATATTGTCTTCTACTACAGAGTCCAATAAATGTACTAGTATATTTATAAGATAAAGCAACATCTACCTACCTACTTGGAATAAATGGAGTCAGATTATATCTTTCACAGACCATTTATTTTTAATAGATGCGTAATTACATTACTCTGTTCAGTAGCACGGAATAGGTTTAGTAAGCCGTGCATAATCACAAACGTACACCTTAGTCCTATTTAGTCCATTGTACTAAATAGACAGTACCAATACAAATAATGCATTTTTTACCGTAAAATTTATAATCCACTTCTAAATAACCTTTACTGCCCACAAGATACAAGGTGAAGGAAAGAAAACACAGAAATAACTAGTAAGTTGTCATTTGTCAGGTTTCGCGCCTTGTTTCGAAGCCGGTTATCCGCTTACTATAGTGTGAAGTTGCGTAGGTATGTAATTCATTCCACTTTTAGCTATGTGATTTGATCTGTTCATCAAAATATACTTTTTTCTTCTTAATATCTATCTAGGTACTGTCATTGATATTTCAATTTGTCATGTGTAAGAATAAGAAGGCTTCTTAGAAAGAATTAAAAATATTCATATTATTTTTCAATGAAAATGAAAGTTTAACAGTTTAAGAGTAAAAATAGAAGTGGGACAATTTTTTTTTAAGAATCGATATAAATTTGTAAACGAAATTTTTACTCTTTAGAAAAACTTATTCTAGTTTGTAAAATATGATTGAACATATAGAATCTTTTTTTTTATCTTATATATATTATCGCATTTTATATATTTTCTTAATAATATAGTTTTCTTTATTAATGTAACTACTATTTAAGTTTGTATTGAAATTTTGTGAAAGCATGTTATTTATTTTAACTTCAAAGGTAGAATCATTTTTATCCTCATGTGAATAAATAGATCCTGTAGGTAGATGCAGGAGCCTAAACAAAATTTTCGAGTTAGTTAAAACAAAAATATAATTAAAGAATACCAGAGTTGCCAAATATGGATTTTTTATAATAAACACATAAAACTACATATTTTTGTATTATTATATTTTATAATATATTTAATCTCTTTTTAAATTACTTCCAAAAAGGTTCTCTTTTTTGTAGATGAAACAAAATGTTATATTCATCATGAATATTTATCAAATTTAAACTTTGACAAAGGTCAAATTATGTACGTAGTAACGGGTAGGTACGTTTTTTAAAAAGCGATCCCCGAAATAGCTACAAGGCTGTTTAGCGGGTCGCGGTACTAACAAGTTTCAGAAACAATGTCTTATGAAATATTTATATAAGATGCCGTGTGGTCCCGGCATAGAATAGGCCACTGTTTTCTTTCCCGTGGATGTCGTAAGAGGCAACTAAGGAAACTTGACAGTCAAGAAATGGGCAGCAGCGTCCCTCTTAAAATATCACCATAGGCTAACTACAGTTGTTAACCTGGCAAAACGCCCCCCATAGGGAGGTCTATGTCCAGCAGTGAACAATTAACATCTGATATAAAATGAAATGTATCTAAGATGTAGGACATATGTAAATTATTCACTCGATATGTGAAGTTATTCGTTTGATGAAGCAACCTCATCTTCCGCGATAAATTACGATACTCGATAAAGTTATACAGAAGTGATAAGCATGATTACAAGCTACAAAATAGGAAGGTATACAGTACTCCAAGATTACATGTATTGTTCTCTAATCCCCGTAAATCATTTTCTAAAAAACTCTAATTGTGCAGTTTTTCTTTGTCTTATATGTAACTAAATTAATACATAATAATACAATAGTAACATTAACGTAACTTGATAAGCTTTAGTGTCAGAGTAAAAATACAATATGACTACTTTTCATCCTTAAGTTGCCGTGAGAGGCGATTAGGAAAACAAAGCGTAGTACGTAAATACCAATACAAGAAAAAGTCCAAATAAAGTGGCCAACGTTGTACTCGTAATGTCTTCCTCTTTGGATAAAGTAGCCGGTGTAATAATGTCTTCCACGAGAGTAGTGTCACTGAAACCATAATAATAATAGTGTTAATACTTACTCTATTTCCTTATTTCCCTGGAAAGTGTAAGTTTTTTTTAAATACTAGCTTTTACCGGGTTACGTTCAATGGTTGTAATAAAAAGTACCCTGCGCCTTTCTCTATTGCATATAGTACATTTATACCAAATTTTATAGTGATCTGTTAAACCGTTAAGGCGCTAAGAAGTAACAAACTAACCCACAATAATATTTATAATATTAGTAAGGAGGCTTTATATATATATATATATATTTGTTTGCGCATATATTATCCACTCTAGCTTTTTGTATGTAAATTTCTTAGTATGCTATAAGTGAGTTATTAAACAGAAACGGTTGTGTTCGGAACATACAAATTTTTTGCATAAGCCAACAAAGAGATTTCGTATTTTAAATTCTCGTATTACAGAGCATTGTCGCATGACGTAGAACAACAAAGAATTTTCGTCTTATTTATACTCATATTTAGAACAGTCAGTAATATAATAAAAAAATGTACTCAAAAATCAAAGCAAACCTTACCTATTGAACGTACTAAAAATATGTATTTAACTCTTTTAAGAGTTCCCAAAAGTTTAGGGTCTGAGCTGATACGATATCCAGGCAACTTTGAGAAATTCTTAAAAGGTTTACTCTTCTTCGAGTTGTTCAATATTAGATTTAAAATTTACCCTGCTGTAAGTAGTAATAGTACTCGGACCAGGATCTTGAGTTTGTCAAAGTTGTCTGACATAAATCGTTTCATTTAAGTTATTAGTCTAAGAAATACTGTAATGTTGCCTTCATCGGTTACATAGAACTCATAGAAGGAATTTCTTTTTATCATGGTTCTTTTTATAATAGGTTTTAGTCGATTCCTGGTGAGGTCAGTTGATGCAGTCTCATTCTTAACTGACCATCTCATGTGTTTTAAAGTTTTAAAGGTCGGCAACACACAAGTAACTTCTCTGACGTTACAGGTATTCATTGACGACGGTTTCCATCTAGTAGACCGTCTGTTCGTTGGCCTCCCTAATCTTAAATAAAAAACAACCGGGTCTATACTGGCCATCTGCTTGTAATTTAAAGGCTTGCTTGCTATATACATATACGAGTATGTCTGGTCTTTACAGCACATGTCCAATTCAGCACCCTTTTTTTCCAGTTGATTTACTTGGCAACGCGTTTCTAATATGTTAGCCTCCACAACCTCACCTTGAAAATAGTTGAAAAACAACAAAATTTGTTTTAAATATTTAAATCTATTTAAAAACATTTTAAAAATTGTAAGCCGATTTTTAGATTTAACAAACCAAACCTTTTATTTGTACAGAAAAACCAAATTAATATTGCAATTACGCTATGATTTTAATAACCACACGCCACTAAAAACTAACAGTCAAGTTTTTAAAGGTTTTAGTACTTTAAATCGTGCTTTTTAGGACATAGATAGTTTTTCTTTACTAAAGTAATGCAAATCTATTCAACCCACATTAAAATCCTCACAAACTTGCTTATCTATAATATAAATGAGATCACAAAGAAATTTGAGTTCAGTATAATTAAACAATTTGTGCTTTTTTTCTTTTTTTTTTTTTTAAATATTTTACTGAACTAGATGTTATCTTGCGGAAGTCCATGTCACTGGTTATTTGATTAGAAATATTTACACATGGAAGTTTGTAAAACTTCTAGTAGTAGTATCTAGTGGTCAATTAAACAAAATAATTCTAGTAAAAATACCAGCTTATTTCTTTCTATAAATATGACGTAATTTTACTATAAATGCAGCCCTCACATATTTAAATATAAGAATAAGTTTACAAGAACTCAGATTACGGTTGCAGAAAACTTTCTATACCCACTTTGTGTAGTAATAGAAAAAATATCTTAATATTATATATTTTATTTACTGGCGAATTCCAGTCACATTTACGTATTATATTATGAAACATTCAATTGGTAGATAGTCAATCTTACTTTATTAGGCCTGTCTTTTTATGGCTTATTTCACTTTATTCATTTTATTCTCACCGGCACTCCCTTTGTTTTGTAGCCAATTTAACAATTTAATTATTTCTTCTTATCCTATTTTGTTTTCTAATTAAATTTGTCGTGAGATTTATGAGAGTGACTTTCCTCCGGGACTTCACCGTTTACTGTTTCAATATCCTTATTCTTGCTAATATTATAAATATGCAAATAAGCTTGTTTGTTTCTCATTTCTTAGCACTTTAACATTTTAACCAATTACTATAAAATTTTATGTCGTATATGGAATAGAGAAGGGTATATAGGATACTTTTTGTCCCTTTTCTGTTTACATCCCAGTCACGGAACGTCGTTGCTTTCCTAGTATTTTATAGTGATCAATAATCATCAGTAGTGAAAAGAAAGAGGGAGAGTGACAATACTATTCTTAAAATGATAGCTGAGGATGTCCATGCACCTGTGATGAGGCATTTCGGTTTATTACTGTCCTGGCCGAACACCTCTCAAGTATATGGATTATTAAATTATAACTTTTTAAATCTTCTACTAACAAAATAGATTTTGATGTCTGCGATTAAATGGATTTGAATTTAAATAAAATTTTCTATATTCTACAGTATTAAATATCTATCTAATTCGGAATAGAAATAATACTACGAATACCAAGAATACGAGGGATGTAGTTTTAGTTTATATTTTCCTTTTCATATAATATACGTTGTCAATTCACATTACACGGCAAGCATCGACAAACACATTTATTTTTATGGATGTCGAAAAATTGTGTAACTTATGTAGTTTTACATGTGAGC